AAATTAGCGTGATAGTGATTATAATGTAATTGTGACTATAAAGGAGTGATTTTATAATTAAAAAAAATCGGACTAACAAACAATGTGACTAAAAGGGAGGCGTGATTGTACAGGAGGTGACTATAAGGGGGGATGACTGTACATGTAAAAAATAAATACAATGTTCGGGACATAGCCCTTTTTATTTCCCTCGATTCCTCCAAAGCTTTCACTGGCTTCTGCGCTTCTTCTAGTAACCATAAAATATGACCAAAGACTTTTTCTGCCATGTCTTTCATACCCTCATCTTCATACGTAACAAATAGAGGCTTCGACAGCTTAAACACTCCATAAAATACCATTTTTCCGCATCTGTTACAATCCCCCATACTTTATCCATATCGTACTCGTCGTCTATTTCATTCGCTTTGCGCTTGCGAGAAAGAGAAGATTCCATCTGTACAGTAGCCTGAGCAAAGCCCTGCTTAAAGTAATCTTTTTTGACCTCGATCAGACCGATTGTTCTCCAGGTTGTACGTGATCCAATACCGTAGTCAAGATTTCTGCGCTCGTTTTTACCTTCAACCAACTTTTCGGGCACTATTTTATTTAGCTTTTAAATGGGTAAGTTGCTGAGGCGAGAAAGGAATAGGAATAGATGCTTTTTGTGGCCTCATACGATACGTTAATCAGGGTTATCGCGACATGATTTTCCAATTCGTCAAAAAGTTTACGCAACGCTTCTTTATACTTTTCCTCCTTAGTGCTAGCGCTACCACAATCGAAAACGGGATAGACATCAATACTAGGATTTGAGTTATCACTAAGCCCGTACAGTTCGCACACTTTTGGGAAGGTCCATTCGTTAAATAGTTTCGAGGGAGTCTCAATGAGGATAATAAACTTGAAGCTCTTCTTCGTCACTAGCGTCCGCAACATCTCCCAGAATGCGACATCGTTCCTAAAATAATATCTATCCTTATCGTTAATGAAGTTTAACACTGTCCCATCATTCTCAAATGCCGGTGGTTCATATGTAGTCTTTGAGGTCCTTGAGAGTCCTATGATAGGCCAGTTGCTTCTAAAACTACTAAAACTAACTTATCAAATTCTTACTTTTTTTACATGAACTAAAAAGCTATCTATTTATATAAAATAATTATATAGAAAAATATAATTAACATATCTACTATATCAACTATATTTACTATATCAGCTATATCTGATATATCATAAATATTAGATATGCCACGATCAATCTTTTGTATTACATATACTATATTATGTATGTCTGTTCATATTACTCTCCACTTAAGATTTTTGCTTCTGCAGAAATATCAAGAGTTTTCAGCAATAGAGCTTAATATTCGCTAGACTTCAATTGTCGAATCATGGTCAAAGTTAGACACTGAGTATTGTAGATTCATTAGACTCCTAAGTTTTTAAAGAGGTAATTAGTAAAAATGCTTAGTTATTGCTACTATTTGTAGAGTTTGTTGAGCAGGCAAAATAGTCACATTATTAATAAGTTAACCTAAATAAAAGGCATTAATAAGAAATAAAATGCAATTTCTCATACAGGTAGAACAAAATAAAGTCTGGTAAATCAACTGCACTTTCTGAATTAATGATGCATTGACTTGGTATAGAGGTTTATCAGTTGGATTTCTTTATCAAAAAGAGTTATAGGAATTTAAAGTTCATTTAAAACTATATCAAAGTTTATAGAATCCATTATAATTACACTTGGTTAAAAGGTAATGTTATAGTGATATAGGCTTATTTTTATAATTGTTCTAATATTAATCATCATTCAATAATAATCTGAAGTTCCTATTTAGTTCATTCCAAATATAGTTTAAAAAGTTCATATATATAGGATTCTTTCTAACTGGTTCATCTATAATATGAAATTTATAAGTATCAGATCTCATAATATCATGAATATAGAAGGATCCATTAAATTTATTCTTGAATTTGTTTTCATAGATATGTAATTATATAATATTAAATAATAAACTTTAGATGCGTTCACAAGTTCATTTGGATTGGATTGAGTCAACGTCTTAATCCAATTCAAATTCACAAATTAAAAATCTGATTTGGATTAGATCGAGTTGATCCAATTGATTGGATTGGATTGGATTTTACTATTAAATTTCCAATCTAGGGTAAAACTACGATTAATGACACTATGCTTGCACTCTACCACCATGATCACTACTGTTATAATAATTACCTAACCATATGTTGATGTCGCGTTAAAGTTATCAATTAAGAAAATAAATTTGTATTATGGTAATCTTTCGATACCTTACGAGCTTGATCTAGCGACAAACTTGAATCGGTTTAAAAAAGTATTTATTTTTTTTTGTATAAGATTGACTCAGAGAAATTTGTTAAAAATATTTTGATTGGATTATTGAAT